ATTCTGGCGTCCGCGGACCACACATCAGGGGCGGGAAAACAGCCAGGTGCGGCGCGGTGCGGTGCGAAAATGGCCGGGCGCGGCGTGGTGCGGCACGAAAACAGCTGGGCACGGCGCGGCGGAAAAATGGCCGCGGACCACGTGTCAGGGGCGGAAAAATGGCCGCGGACCACATGTCAGGGTGGAAAAATGACCGTACCCCGAGGCGGAGTTCGCACATCGAGGTAAATTTTTGCGGCCGGAGCTGGTCGTAACCCGAAAAGTTCATTAGTAGAGGCGTTCATATCCCGAGGTACCACTGTACTTCTTCCTGGCCTGGAGTCCCTCTGGTTTGCATCAAACAGAGTCTGTCTAAGTGTGTCACTTTCTGTGTTTCTAATCTGTTTTGTCTCCACCACTCAACCCCATCCCTTGTTTATCTGTTTCCCCAAACTAAGTTTTTTTTTATTTCCACTCCTTTCCCTGGGGTGACATCTCCCTATCATTGAAAGGCCCACATCTTAAGCTTGCCAGATGCTGGTGACAGACAGCCCATTTTAACCTATGTTTTATCCTTTGTATTCATGTATATTGATAAACCATTTTAATCCATGTTTTGCTTATTATTTAGCACGTAGTTATAATTATGATGCTTTGCACCCATTGGTAGTGCCTTGACCACTGGGTGACCTGCTTGTTACATGGACATGACAGCAATAGATACAACTCAGGCCATCTGCCTTTCTATCTAGGAATGCCAGTTTGTTAAGCAGATGGATGGGACCCTGGTACCAAGTTACTCAGGAATGTTTGATCAAATAAAACTTCAGTGTACCTCTTAACCCTCAGATGAACCATGTTACTTCTTCCTGATGGGTTAACTCTCAGTTGAACTAAACATATGGTTTTTGGTTGGTTTATAGTTATGTACTTTGTTCAAAATTGTATAAAAGAGGGTTCACTCCAAGCAGGGGTGTGCCCATTTGGAACTTACTACTGGGCAACTTTTTATTTGCAAATAAAAGCTTTATTCCTTTCCGCCTATCTGGTGTGAGTCATTGGGCCTGCAAGCCAGGTAAAGGACCTGGGACAATGCTGGCCTTCAGAAGAGCTGACCCTACTGTCCAGTTGTGCTCGGTGCCTCTCCAGCAGCTTAGTAAGGCCCCTGCTCTATCACCCCTCCGCCTCGATTGCACAAACCCTTTAGCCAAGAGCACAGCTTTCCCCAACAGCACACGTGGCATGCAAAGCAGGAGTCTTCCTCTGCATGATTTCCCTCTGTGATGTCTCTCCCTTGTTCTTCTGTCCAACCCAACAAAATGTGGGGTGTCCTGGGGTTCTACAGGAACTTCATGGAGTTTCCTGAGTGACTAAGGGCGAAAACAAATGTTCTGTCACATGTAGCCAATTTTCTATTAGTAGGTTTCACATTCTGGGAATGTTTTTTCTGTGTTCAGAAAAGGAACAAAACCAGGGGTTTCTGTTTCAGTCTGCTATCTGCTCCCCTCCCCCGCAATCTCACAGAGTTGCTGAACTGAATGACTGGGCTTTCTTATGTTAATTCCCTCTCTAGACACTATAATTATAAAGCCCTTTAGCCTTTTAATAATAATATTAATGCTTTTAAATTATGGAATGTTTTTAATGCTGTCATTTTACGGTTTTTTTATTGTACACCGCCCAGAGTCACGTCTTGTGAGAAGGGTGGTTTTGTAAATACGATAGATGATAGCTAGCTAGATATATAGATTATGGCATATACTATTCACCTTCCCTTACGTGAATAGTATATGCCATCTGTATTGAAGAGATACAGATGTTACATTTATGTATTGCCCCCATGTACAAGGTCGGCCATGACTGCCATTTTTCTTTCAAATAACTCCTTTTTTGGAGCACCTTGATCATGGGACTGGACACACCACCGTATAGCAAATCTGTATAAAAGCAAAATAGCATAGTGGTCAAAAGTCTATAAAATAGCATACAATCATTGAGTCTCTGTTTCACCTGTTTTTGTATCTGGTGAAATAAGCTGCTTAGCGTTTGCTAGGGGTGGGGTGGGGTGGGACAGCAAACGTTGGTGTGGCTCAGTTAGCCAGGCAGCTGAAACACCAGCCACCAGGAACTGAGCAAGCAAGCTTTAGAGGAGAAGCTCATGATTCACGAATGAATGTTCCAGACCTTTTCTGCTTCTTTCCCATTATTAATATGATCCTTGTTATTCTTATTTTATCCCACCTGTGTTTATATATTTGGTCAACTCAAGGCAGCTGACATACTTAATACTCCTGCCTGCTATTTTCTCCTCAACAACAACCCTGTAAGGTGGGTTGGGCTGAGAGACAAGGACTGGCCCAAAGTCCCCCAGCCGGCTTTCATGCCTCAGGGAGGCCTAGAACTCAAAGACTCCTGGTTTCTAGGTCAGCACCTTAACCACTACACCAAACCCGCCCTTGATATATTATTAATATATTATATTAATATTTATTAATTTCATCTCTCGCTGTCTCAGGTTAGGAATGGGTGAGGGAGTAAATTCCCAGCAGCGTCATCCAAGGCGTGACAGTCCTCCCAGCTGCCTGGCTAAAGAAAGCGGGTAATTATGTTGGGCAGCAGAGATATGGGAAGATGCTGGATGATCACTGTAACGACAATGGCAAAGGCATCAATTCATACTGTGTGGGAGAAGGCCACAGTAAACCAGTCCTGTATTTTGCCCAAACTGGACTATGCAGCCTAGGAAACAGACATGAAGTAGAAGACAGACTTATAATCTTCTGCCAATCCATGGTTTCTTCACTGCTGACAGAGTCTTCCAAGAACCAAAATGATGCTTCTATACATGGACATCACCAGATGCAGTACACAGAAATCAAACTGACTACATTATTGGTACAAGGGGGTGGAAGGGCTCAATTACAACAGCAAAGACACGGCTAGGGGGTGATGGTGGAGCAGATCCATGAACTGCTCATCTGCAAGTTCCACGCCAAGCTAAAGTGGAAGAAGAAAGCCAGCCAGCTTCCACATAATATGATATTGTACACGAACCCACCATTTTCATGTTGAGTGAAGATGAGCACGGTGTTACAGCTGCAAGGAGAAACATCAATAATCTCCCCTTTGCGGATGAGACTACTCTAATAGCTGAAAAAGCAAATGATCTAGAAGCGCTAGTAAGGAAAGTCAAAGAGCACGGTGAAAAAAATGGGACTGTGATGAAATAAAAAGATCAAACTAGGGATAACAGGTACAGCAACCAGCCTTAGAATTGACAGTGGAGACACTGAAGCAGCGGATAGCTTCTGCTATTTAAGATTGACTAGGAAAGGAACCAGCAATTAAGAAACGGCTCACAGACTAACACTTGGTAGAGCAGCCATGAAGGCCTTGGAAGAGATATTCAGATGCCATGATGTGTCTAGATCTACAAAGATTACGATTGCACAAGTCATGGTATTCCCTATGACACACTATGGAAGTGAAAGTTGGATCTTGAAGAAGCAGGATAAAAGGAGTATTGATGCTTTTGAATTTTGGTATTAGAAAACATTCTAAGAGTACCATAGATCAGTCAACCTGAGCGACTTTAAGATGAGTGGACTTCAACTCCCAGAATTCCCCAGCCAGCATGGCTGGCTGGG